TACGCAGTGTTAGGCGTGCTATCTGGGACCTGTGGTACTATATGTGCGGGCAGAAATAATTGGGTTGGTTGGCACCGTATGGGGTAGGCTATACTGTGACTGGATGATACTAACAGACACAGAGCCGGAAAAAAGAAGAATAAAACAGACACAAACATGCCCCCCAACAAAACGAAACGCACTCTTGAGCACAACTTGGCCCTTGGCAAGGCTAGTACTGGCACCATGTGCGCAGGATGGTACTACGCGGGTGGGGTGGCGCTGTATGGACTGGGCGGTGCCTTGTGGGAAGGTCATCCCATGTAGACTTTACTTCTTGCTGGAGTAGTCTTCGGTCTTAGGTAAGTTGCCTTCTGCCCTCCATCCCCTTATGATTTGAAATATATGTGACGATATATGTATACATATGTATATGTGCAAGTGTGCCGCTTTGGCGGCAGACGGGTGTGTGGGCACTTGACGCTGAACCACACAAACGTGACCAACCTTGCATTTTCTATTATATTGCCCATCTATATTTTTCGTAATGGACGGCTTGCAATGATCTGCCAAGGGAATGAGAGAGACAATCTGGGATCCTTTAAAACAACAAACACATCTGATGAGGAGTTGGTGGAAGTTCGATGAAACAGTCTGGCACGGTCGTGCTTTTTTTTTTTGTGTGGAGTTGCGCATAGCGGACATGACAACACACACTTCTGATTTCATTGCGATTTGAACCCATGACCTGTTTACTAACGGTCAGGTTTGCACTGCTCATGCGTCCACATGGCCAGTGCTTGAACTCGCTTCTTGGTTCTTTTTTGGGGACATGCGATTCCATTGCACTTTGAACTTGTGATCTGTTAGCCAATAGGAACGTTTGAAAAAAGAAAAAGAAAAAAAAAAGGGAACGTTTGCACAGCTGATCAACGGTTCAGGTGTGTATAACGACGAATCACGGAACTGATCCTCCACAGATCACGTCACTGCCAACTACAGGACAGAACAGAAAAAAGCGAATCATGGTAATGAGACTGATCCCTCAGAGATTGCGTCACTGCCAACTACAGAACGAAGATGACGAAAACAGAAAAAACAAACATGAACCACGGATCACGTTGCTCGCAAAGAATGAAAAACAAATGACACATCACGCCCGCCCGCCTCCCAGCACCCGGCCTGTCCCCCATGTCAAAGAAAGAACAGCAATCGCAAAACAACACGTCACGCTCACCCTGGTCTCAGGTGGGTCTGTTAAGCAAGACCCGGGTTCCCCTTTTTCTAAGGAGTATAGAATCTATAGATTGAAAAAGTAAACGGGACGGGAAATATTTGAATGGACCCTGAAAAGAAAAAGAATACCCTGAAAAGTAAAAGAATACGCTGCCTGCAGGATAAAGCTCAAAGTTGAGCCAACTGGTTGTCAACCGCACAGATCTGTCATCTTGACGCTTCGCAATCAATGTGGTCCTTGCCGATTCTTGCACAGCAGGACCATGACTCTGTAAACGCAAATTTGGACGTATCCTGCTGTTGCTGTTTCTCCCTTTTGTTTTTTTGGTACACATCCTGCTACTTCGGGATCTTCATTGAAGGAGGGGGGGGGAGGGGGGGCCAAGGTTTTGGCTTTTCTTTTCCCCTTTATATATCTCTAGAGTTCGTTTTTTTTTTTTTTTTTGTGTGTGTGTGTGTGCGTGTGTGTGTGTGTGTGTGTGTGTGTGTGTGAGAGAGAGAGAGAGAGAGCATTGAATGTTTGAAAGGTTTTGAACGCTTGATTTGTTCATGAATAGTTATATTCGTGTACCATGCAGCTGCCGGTAAGGTACCAGAATAGAGGTCTTATGTTTCAAGTCTGATCGATTGTTTGCAATCCCCAGGAGTGGTCCTGTGCTCGGACAAGGCTACCGTCTTCCCCCGAACACAACGCACCCTCATTTTGGCTGCACCGGACCGGAAAGATAGCTTGTGTACATTCGTTATCAGGGTGGGTTGTGTTTGGTGGAAGACAGTAGCTGCATGCTCTGACATCGTGGTACTGGTTCCCTCACTTCTCGAGCCCACGACCACATTGAAATAGCCACGCCAATGCGAGTGGAAGAAATGGCATGGAATATGTATATGGAAGCTCTCCTTTGTTGCCCCGTCGCTGACTGGTGTACAAGGTGGGTAGAGGTACCAGTGAGTTTTGCAGTGACGGGGCAACAAAGGAACTCAGTGAGAGGGCGGGCAGTGACAGGGTGGACAGGCCGTCATGGAACTCAGTGGTACCCGTGGCCCCATTTGTGAGCTGGCTGTTCATTCCGATGACGTGTTGATGGGTCGTTTTGCCGACCCATCGACTCACCATCGATGCCGTTGAAGTTGTGATCAAGTTGATGCAAATTGTGAGGTTGGATAGTGGAAGGTAGTGAAAAAGGGCGGTCAGCATTCTGTTGTACGGAGCATCTTCTGCTCTTTAGTGATAAAGCGCGAGCACCGTTCTGTTCACTGTGCATCGTGCTTGCGCTCTCTAGTGAAAGAGCGCAAGCGCCGTTCTGTTCACGGTGCTTCTTCCTCTCTTCTGGGATTCTATGGCCTTGAGACCCTCAAAAGAGAGCAGGGTGTACACTCTCTTGAGTCTTTTCTTTTCTACAGGGCCTTCACAACCATCAGCCCCTCCGAACCTAAATTGCCGAGCCTGTGCTGAGCCCAGCCGTGGACTCCGAACTGAGGTGGGCGCTGCAGGCTCAGGTGGTCCACCACACTCCATTCTTTTACAGGGCCTAAACCGCCAGTACACCCGGGCTTGGCAGCGCCGCACTGCACGGCAAGCTTTGCCGAATCGCCTGCGGCGCACTTCTTTTCTTTTTTGGCTGGCACCGCCAGCCATTGTCGTCTGGTAACCAGACCAGACCACAATGTCAGGAGTAGGTGATGGCGAAATCCTGCAAGGCGGGGGCCGTGTACTGGCGGTTTAAACGACCGATACCTCGGAGCCTCTTTTTGCCGGGGCGGAAAAGAACTGTGCGCCAAGCTTTGCGGAAGCACCAGTGCAGCGTTTTTTTTCCCCATTTGGCTGGTGCTGCCAGCCATTGCCGTCCGGTGGCACTGTTCATCCGAAGAGCCGGGACTGTTACATTTTCGACTCTCGACGTTGCCTGGGAGAAAGGTAGTGGTGGTTCAAACCACCACCAAATCCTAACCTAAATTGCCGAATGGACCTGAGGCCCTGCGACAGGTGTGGTACATTTTCCAGCCATTTTTTCAGAGTCGCGGCACGCATGCTGCTGCGACTCTCGGGAAGTACGGGGGCAGCGTTTCGTCGAAAATCCATTTAGGCAAAACGGGTGGCATGCGAGCCCCTTCTGCCTGGATGGATGTGCCCTGCATAACGACACCCTGGTAATTTCCGAGAGTCGCGGCAGCATGCATGTCGCGACTCTGAAAGAATGGCTGGGACACGTACTGGTGGCTTATGGTCCCCTATGCTCTCACAACATCGAGTTTTCTTTGGCGGTGTTGGGCTCTACGGCCTTGAGACCATACGAAAGAGTCTTTTCTTTGGTCGAGTGCCTGAAAAGCCAGCGCTAAGAAGAAAATGCGCCAGGCCACTAGTGGGGCCTGAGGGCTCTTCTAATGCTTTCTCATTTTAATTTTATTTTTCTGGTCGAGTCAATGACGACCCTTGCAGCTCAGCACTGTCAGTAGCATTGAGAAAAACTTCTGTCAGGTCAGAAGGGCCTTGAGGCACTATACGGAAGACCATCCAGATGTGCGCTGTTTTTCTTAGGACATCGAGGACCTCAAGTTCCATAGGGCCTTGAAGACCCTGATAATGTGGGCTGGTATGGCTTCCACTGTGCAGCCTCCCTCCTAGCACACACAGCTCGCACCCCATGGACAGCAGTGTGCCAGTACCATTACGACTACTTCTAGTACGACTACTTCTAATACAAGTACTTCTAGTATGACTACTCGTACGACTCCTAGTACAACTACTAACGACTATCACAAACAGCAAGAGTATCATTATGATGAAGACAACAAGGACGATGGGCATCAATCACGAGTCCTACCACTCTGACTACGATGACTGCTGCTACTTTTACTATCGCTACTTTTACTATTGCTACTTTTACTATCGCTATGGTGAAATGTTTTGTAACTTTTACGACAGCTATGGCGAACTGTTGTGTAGTTGATATTTTCGCAGCTGCTACTGTAAGGGATTGGATGGGGTCGCATGATATCCACCTACTCCAATGTGCAACCCCCTTGGCTCTCCCCCTCCCCCTCCCCCTCCCTCTCCCTCTCCCTCTGTCCAATTCACGGGAAGCATCTTGTGATGTCCTCTGCACTCCCCTTCCCCCCCGTCCCCCGTTTGCCCCTGCCACCCCCCAGGACCCAGGTCAGTGTGGGCCGCGGTGTGCTTTACGCGAACTGGGGAGCGGCAGGCGGGAGTGTCACAGCGCGTGAAAAATGCTTTGCGTGCAAGAGGGGCACACACTGACCTACGCGCAGGAGGCATTGAAGGCGGTTGCGAAAACACTCCAAACTTCAAAGTATTATAGGCAATTGAGGTGGTGGGGAGATCTGAATGGGGACACAGATAAATTGCAGGCAAGTAGGGTGGCGTGGTGATTTATGACTGCAGTGTCGCTAAACTAGCCCACTTTATGGACTAGGTTCATGCTAAACTGGACGTTGAGTCACAGAGAGGACTATGTGGCCAGCCCTCAAATACCGACTGGTCTTTGAAAATTACATTCATTTGTGCACAAGGGATATTAATTTAGTGGAAGCAAAGTTGGATGACTAGCAGGTATGTGTGTGTGGGGGGGGGGGGGGGGGGGGGGAATGAGCGGGCTATATTTGTTTTCCAGAACTTTACCCCTTTAATTTTCTGGTTTGGTGGATGGCGCTCTCTTCTCTTATTCAAATGCATGCATTGCTTTTGTTCGTTGACTTCCTTTTTGACCGTGCTTGTTGATGTCACGCGCGGGTTTCTTTTTTTTTCTGGACTTTGGGTTGCTTCACAGGTATGACTATACTGGATACGGAGCATGCACAGGAAAGGTATGGTTCGAACTTCGAGTCAAATAAGCTGTTTGACTGTCTTTGCTGAAACGGTGCAAACAAGGGGCGTCGCTCCACTACTTTCTGCATGCACAAAAGATGAAAAAATATGGCGGTGTATAGTTCCTTTGTTCTAGAGGAAGATTCGTTATCATTTTGCACTTTGGGAGAGTAGTGGAGCGAGGCCCCATGTTTGACAATTGATCATAATTGCTTTTACTAGTTAGCCTTTTTGTGCTTTCAGCTTTCTCCACTTGATATGGAGCAGGACACCTCTGTGACTGAAGCCTGCTTTGGAACCCTAATTCGGCTGTTCATATCAAATGCCACCGCCCTCTGTGACTGAAGCCTGCTGTGTTTTTGGGCGGAATGATTCAGTGTGGTGTGCTGCCAGGTGTCCTTTCATACTCGGCACAGCGCACTGTATGCTTCCCACTCATCACTCAACTGAGCGCCTTTCATACTGAGAAATTGTGAAAATGTTTGTGACTGCCACCTGCCACTGGTTGCGAAGTTCGAACTCTTAACCTATAACAGAGATGAGCAGACCTGCCCGAGAGACTTTGATTGATGGAGGCAGCGATAAATGTTGGTTTATAAGTTATTTATAAGTTATTATGCACTAATGTTTAAAACCACCAGTATGTCTGGAGAATTCATATGAGCCTCTCTCCGAAAAGTTAGGGTGACCCAGGACACCGCCCGCCTGGGGGTGGGCAGGCTTTTTTTTTTGTTTTTCTTTTTTTGGTTCAGGGCTGGGCCGAATGCCACCCCACGGCACGGGATAATTTTTGCTCTCTCTGAAAAGTTAAGGGACTCGGGACAGCGCCCGCCTGGGGGCGGTCAGGCGTTGTGTTTTTTTTTTTTTTTTTTTTTGGGGGGGGGTTCAGGGCTGGGCCTAGTTAGGGGACACCCTTTGGCCGCCCTTTGGACACCCTGTCCAGAGCCCTTTGAACAGTTAGGGGACTCAGGATAATTTTTTCTTCTACTGGCAGCCCTTTGGACACCCTGCCCCGAGCCCCAAAAATTTTAGGGGAGGAGTAATCGGATTCTCGACTTGGCTGGGCCCATGTACTACTGATGGTTTAAGGGCCTCGCAGCCCCGCTCTCCAAATGCGCAGAATGAGAATGAATCGCCCAGCAGAACATGGAAAGATACACAGCGGTAGTCTTTGTCCTTGTTTTTTTTCTCAACTCTTGTGTCCTTTTCACATTTGGCGAGCAGGTGAGCGGTGTACTGCAGTGCGGTGAGGGCCTCTTAAGTTTATATGTCATCAGCTGTTAGCGGCGTGTTGCTGTCGATGGCCTACGGGTAGCAGTTTCTCGTCATTGGCTGTCAGTCGCATGTCCCGGTGGATGTCCTTCATACCAATTTATCTATAGTCATCAGTTCTCTGATTAACTTCATGGCTGTGTGGTTATCTAACTTATCTGCTTTCTGGCACACATTTGTTGGCTCGTCTGGCTGCTATCTGTTTTTTTTCATCCATCCGTTTGATGTATTTCTTGTTTATCTTGATGTTGGCATTTCATTCGTCCATTGCAGCCCAGCGAACAAAACACGTACGCGGATATCGATGCTGCACTGGAATGCTTGAAGGAGAAGTACGGCGTTAGAGAGGAGGATATTGTGCTCTATGGGCAGTCGGTGGGAAGTGGCCCTACTGTGGATCTTGCATCCAGAGTAGACAATTTCCGGGGTGTGGTGCTTCACAGTCCGATTCTGTCGGGTGTCAGAGTCATCTACAACGTAAAACGGTCCTACTGGTTTGACATATACAAGGTAAGGGTGGCTTGTACCAAGTCTTTTCTCGCGGCCTCCTTTGCCCGCAGAGAAACTCAATCAATCAAGTCAATTCCTGGAGTGTTTGTAACTTGCACGTAGGGTTCGGAGGAGAGAAAAGAAAACGAAGCATTTCGAATTTTGTGACATCTAGCGTCATCAAAGTGACCTCACATTAACATCACATTGTCAGGAGTAGTGAGTGTGGAGAAGGATGATGGACGGAGAAGGGTAAACGAGCTATCTGGGGATGAGGATTCTCTAATCAATGGGCGAACGGCAGGGTGTAGATGAAGAGAAGAGGGAAATGAATGGAAAGAAAGAGGAGCAGGAGTGACCTCTGTCTCTCTCTGTGTCTCTCTCTGAGAGAGAGAGAGAGAGAGAGAGAGAGAGAGAGATGCAGTGGGGTAGAGATTTGGAGAAGCAGGACGGATCTTTTAGAGAGGGAGAATAGCAGGGGAAGAGAGATTGGGAGGAGAGGCTGGGGACATGATGTGCATTTGATCCTTGGAAAGACGTAAAGACAGTGGGGAAGACATGATGATGAGGGAGGAGGGAGAGGGGGGCTTTCTGTTGTGTTTCTTCTCTGAAATGTTGTTTTCAATGCTGTGTGTGGGGGCTTCGTTTCGTGATGAGGGAGAAGCTGTTTAGACCTTTTGCCGTCCATGTTTTGAGAGAGGCGAAGGAGAAGGAGGGGGGTTTGTATTACTTGCACTGTGGGGAGAGAGAGAGAGAGAGAGCTGACTGGTGTTTGTGGCGGATGTTCTTATTTGTTTGCAGAATTGCGACAAGATTGAGAGTATCAAATGCCCTATTTTGGTTATGCATGTGAGTCTTCTACGCCTCTTCCCAAACCGGCTCGCTTGTTGATGGTTGCGATTTCATGAAGTTTGCATACTTGCTTGGATACTTGTTCCTTCCAAAGCCGCTGTCATTTGATGTCCTTCCAACTATTATGTTGCTGTGTGGATGCTGGCAGAAGCAGTCTGCCGACCTGGCTGGTATGTGGCCATGGATGTCGTTGTTTCATTTGATTTGTACTGTCGTGCATGAATTTCAGTTTCAAGTTTCGACAGTCAGTGTAATCGGGCTGCAGTGCTTGGCGGCATGAAATGTCGGGGACGGTGGGTATACTGATCCTATGGTGAATCTGGGACAGTGGGTCCTTGTAGGATATGGGTTGAGCATAATCCCATCCTATGACACGTCATAGTCAAGGAAGATTCATACGTATCTGTGACCGCTCTCTTTTTTTTCTTTCTTTTTTCTTTCCTTTTTGCGCTTTCTTTTTTTTTTTTTCTGACTTGTGTGTGTGTGTGTGTGTGTGTGTGTGCGAGTGAGTGAGTGAGTGAGTGAGTGAGTGAGTGAGTGAGTGAGTGAGTGAGTGAGTGAGTGAGAGAGAGTGATTGAGAGAGAGAGAGAGAGAGAGAGAGAGAGAGAGAGAGAGAGAGAGAGAGAGAGAGAGGAGGAGGAGGATTATCTGGGTTTCTTACCTCAGACCTCAGATTGAATGGTAGTTGTGGCAGGTTTTCAGTGATTGATTTGACTGATTGGTGGCGTAAATTATCACCGTGTTTCTATCTAACTGGGTCATTCGGAGGAAAGAGCCTTGAGATATCATCATGGAACTGACCAGCCCCATGGGGTTTGAACTCCGGTGTGTGTTTCAACAGTTCACGGGTGTACCACCTGAGCTAGGCCCACTGGTATCTGTGACGGATGTAAAAAT